CAGAAAAAAGCTACCTCCAATGAAGGGTTTCACCAAAGACTTTTGAGCGCTACCTTTCTAAGCCAGTAATATAAATAATGCTGAATCTTAAATGCCAACAGTCAGCCCTCCGTAGCACGTCAGTTGCAGAGATGCCTTTTCGATGTTTGACATCCTAAAAGGTGTATTTATATTGAATGACTTCGCGTGAGGTCTTGATGCCTCTTCACCTTCTAAACGCCGTAGTGGACACTGTTTACACAGTAGGGCCGCTATAGTAACACATTCACAAACAAACAATGAAGGAACCCCGACAGCGCCCTGCAGCGAGAAGCACACTGACCGTAAACTCCATGGTCGCCGTCTCAGCATGATTCCCTTCACTGTTATGGTCCCTTTGGCCCACTTCGAGCGGCTTGATAACTGACCAGTTCAATTCTACTGTGTATCAATGCAGGAATTTTTCACCTTGATGAGGCGTTGGCTAGTTGTTCACTTCCTACAACAAGCCGAGAAGTTCAGCATTCAGTCGTGCTCCATTTGGATGATACTGTGGCCGTGTTCATTTGATGCGCTTCTGCGAAGCGATCGAACATGTAGATATCCACATTTACGGCGGTCGTGTGTGAGCTGTCAGAAGCGAATGAGCGATGTCGAGCGATATCAGATGAAGTGATCAGATGAGACGGCAGACCGCCACTACTGTGATTGCGCCACCAACAACGTTGTTGTTCTTAGATGTTATCTTCTAGTATGACCCGCACTTTGAATCGCCTCTTTAGTGCTGATCCGCTGGAGCTGATCGCAGCGGTCACTACAGTTCGTCGGCAGGTTGAGAAACTACAGCCTTGCCAATGCTTGAAGTTATAGGCTTTGAATACTGTATGATGATGAAGATTCGAACCATCGGCTTAGTTCACGTTTAATACAGTATCATTAAAACCAAAACACACTATCTGGCCGGAGTTCATGTTTAGAACAGAGCGGTAAAAGTACTGCAAAGTTCAAACCCTTGTCGTTTCTGGCGGCTATTACCCTTTAATAGAGAAGAGACTAGCTCAGTCCGTCAGTCAGCCAGTGGAGATCTATCAACCCTTCTGAAATATCCGGGCACGAATCTAGGGTGGGGCGGAAGTTCTCCCACTACTCAGCATCCTTTTGATACTTTTGCGGCGCAAACTGCGGTCATCCAATAAAAACAAGACTCCTAAGAGTTTTACCCGTTTTGAAAAGTCTTGGACATCAAGATATAGGACAAGGGACCACTCAGATCAGATGCTTCCGTAGAAAGCTCCAGTAAAAGTGAACTTTAACTTCAATAATGCAGGCTAATGTTAAAGATACAAACCTCAATGCATCATTTCAGTGGCCTTGAATGCGTGATTATGGTTCTCGCTAAAGTTTTCGCCCAGGTTTCCGGGTGCTTTTGTAGATCTCGAACCATCTCGGCGAGAATGAGAATTCGAGAAAAGGACACCTTTCAATTTCTCGTCTCCAAGCCTTCCAAAAAACGGCATCTTAAATTGGACGGTACTTCCTATGATACAATGATCCTTTGAGCTTCAGCTAGCAATCTTCTCAGCGGGAACCACAGCTTCTTCCTTCCCGGTTTCTGGCGGGTTGCATCCAGTATAGAACACGTTGTCTGAAATATCGGGTTTGCGTCGTCCTAGCGGTCTTGTTTTGTTTCTTGGGAGCCATTCAGTGACTCGGAGGCTCCATCTGTCATCGTCTCGGCGAAGTAAATGACCAGCCCAACGATGTTTCGATTGCGCCATGTATTGTAGGGGATCTTTCAGGTCTCCCTTAATTCTGAACTTCGTAGGCTTTGCCTCCATTGCTGATGTCGACTAATTTGTTGTCCGGTAGAAGACGCTATCTTGCCTGACTGACTTGATTATGATGATGTGTGTATCTTTTAATCGTCAAGTTTTTAAGAAGGAAAATAAGCCTCAAAAGAAATCGAAAATTGGTTAGAGGCTTGTGCGCCAACCTTATTTTACGAAGGCCTAGCGGGTAGATATAAAATAGATCGGAAGCTATGAGCCTTGGTTAGCCGCTTTGGTATTTCGTCGCGTATGGTAGCGCTGTCTCAGTACCATGTCCGCCCAACGACGAACACTATAAACATGGGATGCCAGCTTAAATGCAAGGTGACAGTGATGGCAAAGATGCTCTTGATCAGAATCCTCAAAGAAAGCCATATATAGAAAGTCATGTTGGCTAGATGGAAATGAAGAATTGCGGCGCGACCTTGATCCGCTACATTCACATCTGAAAGCCAGCTCGCATTAATGTCACAAGTCCAAACGAAATTCCTTCGAAGCTGGTCTGGTCAGCTCGTGCATAAATTTATCAGGGCGACCCATAATTGCTTCCCAAATGTGTAGACCTAGATTGGCCTTCAAATAAATTAGTAACGCTGGTGAGAATTAGGACGGATGGTTCTGGTCGAGATGGGAAGACACTAATGGAGGACGAATCTCAAGAAATTAAGGTTAACCGGTAATTAAATGGCGTTCCCTATTTTTGCTAAAAAGGACATCGACTATTTCATTGGAGATTTACGAGAGAAAATTGGCGACATAAAAGTAGGCCTACTAACGGCAAAATTCTCAGTGGCCATTTCGTTCTTCTTAGTCTTACTTTAGTTAAGAGTTTACTGGCTGAAGCCAAGCTTATTCGAAATACGTACTAGTATAACAAATTTGTGAAGAAGGAAACCCTTTTCAAGCCCTTTCTCCAGTGCCGTAAAATGAAAGACATTTCGGAATCCTGCTGGAAATTTGAAGAGAAGTTGAATTCGTGGCATGGCATTTGAGATCGTTCCATTGGATTATTGTTAGCCTATTACAGTAGAGTTTTAGCAACAATGTGGAATGGCTTCCTTCACCTACTACACGTAACCCCTAAAGTAGTGAAGCCCTGCTTTTCGAAGAGTTTTTGATAAATTCTTTTTACTGTGTGTTTAGAGAAACTTGCACTCGCACGCATAGCAGTAAATAGGAAAGAGGACATGATAAGTCGGTTGACGGGTTATTCTCTCGGAGTGCTCTCTTCTCCATTCAGGAAAAGCTAGGACCAATTTGAATGCTTATACGTTAACTACAATGACTTGCAGCCATGTACAGATCCGCGCTCTTTTGCTCTTGACTAAAGACAGACTGATACAGTTTGGAGATCTTTGGATGGATATATGCTTCGCTGACTTGAGCGAATCTGATCGGGTAAGTGGGTTTAGGGAATGGGTAGGCTGTGGGGGCTCACTTGTTAGCATCATCTGTGCCGTCATATCCCGCGAAAAAATTGAGAATTAAATGGTGGTAACAAGATATAATAGTTGATATGGTACACTAGAGATGCACGGATACAGGGTGCGGCAAAAGATGCGAGGCGGCAATATACAGGGGGGGGCCAAAAAAAAGACATTTTGCCTATGTCGGACTTCGGCTCTTTTTTCTTCGCAGAGATTGCTGTCGTTGACGGGAGTTCCTCAGCAGAGTATTCCCTAAGTGTTCCTCTATTAGTGTACGCAGGCTCTCCTTCACTGCCCTCACCGTCTTCAGAATATGACGTCATCTGTCACCGTCGTCAGGCTCAAGGAGGTCTACCGTAAGAGCTTCAGCCTGAAGCTCTTACGCAATTTCGTGAATCGATTTAATGTTGGATAGTTTTCTAGAGGCATTAGCTACCACTGTGCAAATCCCCTCGGAACTAGCTTTCCAGTAAGGGTCGTTATGGTACACGATCCTTCGAAGACCCCATTGAGATCGACCAGTGCACCATGTTTCCAGGGCTAATTCTTCTGATGCCGTCCACGTACGTGGCCACTATGAAGATTTTCTTATAGAATGGAATGCACTCTTTAATAATAAGTTGGAACCGTTCGGTCTGAGTTGAGTAAAATGTGCTTAAATCCATCTGGAAGTGGAGGCAAAATGTCTTTTTTTGGCCCCCCTGTACATACAGTCAGGAAACCGAGCATAATACAACTTGTTGACATAGCGCTCACATTTCCCTTTGATTGTGACAAGGAGCGTTCCTACGATTTTCTTCGTAACCACGAGAATTCTATTTGCGCATGCGAGCGTAACCGATACTCACTAGTTTAAATCCATTTTTGCAGGGCGTTTCACAATGCCGCATTGTCAAGGGATTATTCGTGTATGCATGGTGCTCTCGAGTGACATCGGTGTTCAGATCATCTCAAAGTGCGAGAAGTCTGCTGAACGGAGAAAAATGTTGGCATGCGACAAACGTTATTGTGGGTTTGAAGGGTCAATCGCAAAGTGGAATTCAAGTTCTCAAGGATCCTCCTGGTTACGCCGTACAGAACTACATGTTAACCGTTTCAAATATCAAGAAAACTCTGACGTGAAAGGCTTCGGCTTAACTTCAGAGTAGGCGAGCCTCTGGATCAAACACAGTTTTCACTGGCATCTAAATCACAAATTCTGTGGTTCGAGGCCTTGAACTCGACTAGGTAGGCGGTTTGGCTATTCATTTCCAGTGACGATGACCGCTGATTGCTTTGGAGATGCGTTGTGAATTGACGCGCGATTTTCTCAGTTTTCAGTTGGTGAAAAGCGATGTATGTCATTTGGCACAGTGGCAGGAATTCTAGACCTAGTTGGCTGATTCGAGTCGATTGGCTTGATGAACAATTAGACATGTAAATCAGTTCAATTCTAAATCACTCATTTTAGAGTTAACGGAGCGCTCAACTTTCTAGACGTTTTTACGCTGCTCAACTACACACTTTTTCTCAGTTAGCAGGGGTGGTGTCTGGGAATATTTTATCTTCTTGTTCAGCTTAGTATTCGTTTGAGGCACGCAGTAGATGGTCTTCAATTAGTTGAAAAATAATAAATAATAAGAGTAGTGACCTTAGCGCAAAAGGGAGAATGATTTTTGTATAATAGTGGATAAAAATGATTATCGTTTGAACACATAGAAGTGATGGAGCAATAGTTGCTAGAGTACTAATTTACTTTGGCTGACTAGACGAACGTATGGAGCCACGAAATGCACCGCTCCTAACGAGCCTGGCGTATACGTAAAGATTCTCTATATTTTACTAAGTCTAGAGAACTTTCAAAAAGCACTGAGCACGCTCGACCTGTCAACTTTTCTGTTTGTGTTGGTAGCCGAGGATTGCGCCACTTTGGCGCAACTGACTGAGGCAAGGGTGATAGGCGGCGCTGGAAAAGGATCAGCGAAGTTAATCCGGTGCAATATTTGGTAATGACGTATGGGAACGCCGTGCATCAGGTGAACCAGTAGCCCGCGTGAGGACGAGCGTCTCGAGATTAGAGGCGCGCCGGCGCGCGATGCAAGCGCCTTCTCGAGGTCCCTCCGCAGGTAGATGTGTCGGCAAATCTTGTCCACTGATGCATTGCTCATCGTTGCCATGCTGACAGTCGGGTGATCAATGGCTCCTGTTTGAAATCGCTCTCATCCAAAGAAAAACATCATTCGTCCATGGAAGTATCAATTTGTACAGAAAATACAAAATTTATACATAAAATCTATTAAAATACATTTAAAATCTTTTACAATCACGATGACGAGTTAATATACCGGGCAGTGTGAGATTTACATGGGCAGTATCATTTTAGGTTCGTTTCTTCGAGCGTCGAAAAAGAAACCTCCAGAGCCATTTCAGCCTTTTTTCGTCTTTTTGGTTTTGTGTTGTTCGAAGGTCTTGAAGTTTTTGCAACCGACGGCATTCCAGCATCTGATCATCGTATGTTTCCTGAACAAGTCGCCGGAAATAGGGGTAAGTATGTGAGAAAAGAATCAGGATGGCTGTGATGTCAAGCCGATTTTTTGGCGTCAAAGTAGGTCAGGGTCGACCGGTCACGTTCGATACATTTCTCTAGGAATTTTTGCGAGCCCCCCCCCCCTGCTGGAGAGGGGCCAGTTAGCACCGGCAATACACCAGCCATCCCCGATAGCGCACACTCTCCCTTTTTCTATAATATTTGACTTTGGACCGCTGCGAACACATGCCAAACTTCCTTCTAAAACCTGCGCAACAAACAAGAGGAGCGGGGGGGGGGGGGGGGGGGGGGGGGGTATATATACAACCACTGAAACGGCAACTTTTTTCACACACCCTCTGCCCTACCTGATGACCGAAGCGCGCAATGCGACCCCCTTTTCCCTCCCAGAGCCCAAATGCGACCCCCCCCCGTTCGAACTGTTCGAACGGACGGTTGACCCTGCGGTCCAGATCACAAAAAAGTAAAAGTACGTAGGGATCAACAATCACGAGGAATTTTGGCCTCCAGGGATATATATATATATTATATTTTGCTTATTATACATATAAATATTTTTGGAAGTTTTTTGACTTGAGCCAGGTAAATCAATAGAGTCTGGATGGCTCCAATGAGAAGGCGCAAAACTTGCTTGCGACCCCCCCAGGAAGCTTACAGGATCAAGGATGCTCCAGGTTTCGATTGCCCGATCTGGTGAAAATTTACTGTAGTTTGGGTGCAAATGGGCCTGCCGTCCAGAGATATGATGTCAACTGTCGGTCAGGGCATTCGTAGCCTGATAATGTAACTTTTATCAAAATATCATGGTGCAACACTGCATTAACTTGGCGACTTTTGATCGCTGACAGTCTTCATCGGCAACTTAACAGATTTGATTTTACAATTGTTACCAGAGAACCTAGGCTCTAATAATTTACCTGGGTCTCAATTCAAAGTTCCATGGGAAGATGGATCACTTTTCTGATTACACCTTCTACCTACCTTGAGTCGTTGAGCAGTCTTTTTCCGCTCTGGCTCGGTCAGCTTCGTCTCAGACATTCTGGCTCTGGCTGCTTCGATCATACAGATAGTGACAGTGGCCTGAAAAAGGTGATCAGAATTTTAGGTCATGGAACCTGGCAGTAGGACATATTTGTATACCAGATAGGAGATAATCATAAGATTAAAGATTTATCATGATCAAAAAATGCTCGAAAAAGAAATATTCAAAGATCAGCCTAGTTACCTGATCGCAAACGTCCGCGTACAAGTTACAGAGATAGGCCAAATCGTCGAGGATAGCGATTCGTTCTGGCTCATAGGATAGGAAAGTCTAAAAAATTTTTTTTGTTAGAAAAATCCTTTTGAGGGAAATTGGCCTCACCTTTGATGCATGTCTCATTAACTCTGTATACGCCAACTGAATAGCTTTCCAGATCGCTTTTCTGGAAATGGGAAGCGATTTCGTAAACTGCGGTTTCCTCCTCGACAGAGAATTCGCTTGGCAGAAACATTGAAGAAGAGCGTCTCCAATCAAAGGGAGTTGCTCGACAGGAATATCACTGAAATTTACATCAAATTTAATGAAAATAAGGAAGGGCCTGGAAGTCCACTAAGTCTTGGAGTCGACTAAGCTTGGTTCCAAAATTACTTGATGTAACTTACTCGTAAAGTATATTGGTGAGAATGGAAGCAGCTCGGATGAAGGCTTCACAACGCATTTCAACAGGATGTTTCTGTGAAATGTCTTGCATGAGAACGGAGAGCTCTTTGGTGAGCGCCGTGCGGGGAAGAAGTGGAATGAGAAGGTCCAGACAGCTGGAGCTGTGGAAACTCGTCGAACGAGGAAGCGATCGAACTTGTTGGGAGCAGGACGACACTAGAACGACACTCATTTGGAAATATTTAGCGGTCGGGCTTTGCTATAACATTTATTGAAAAAAAGCGCAACTGATCAACACTGGAGGACCGCTCTTCCTGCACTGAACGCGCACGTTCGAAGAAAATGTGCTACTTGTACTTGCAATCACGCGGCAATGCAGGTACAAGTAGTGTGCAGAGCGCGAACGATTCGTTATCATTCTTACCTTGTTCGCAACATCAAATCCGCAACCTCTGACGATTCTTGAAGACTGTCCTCGTTTCGTGAAGAGCCTCGAGCCACTGATGGATTGCTCATTACTGAAGTTCACATAAAAGGCATCATATCAGCCTCTTATCGAATGCTTAAACTGCAACCAGCTAGAGACTCTGGGCTAGCGATCCTCAATTTTTATCTAGGACAAAATACCGAAGATGATTCAACCAATTCTATAACGCTGTCTAGTTTGGCAAGTCGTTCGTCGTTGGTTTGTGAAGTCTGTTTGGAGGTGTCGCTTGAGAGACCCTTGATGACTTCACCGGACCATCCCTCAGGAAATGGCGGAAGCAGATGAAAGCACATCGACAAGTCTTCTACGCAACTCTCGTAGCTCTCCCAACACCTAAACATCGAAGTAATCGATGAAAACTCGGGGAATAGTCGATCTCTATTCTAAAACGATTCTCACAAATCTCCTCTCGTATAATCTGTTCAGCTTGAAGCTGTGACAGTGAAATAAGGGTGTGACCGTTGTGCTTATTGACGCAACACTCAAGGCAGGTGAAAGTCTATAAAAATTAGATGATTCACAAGAACCCGTCAAAACGTAGAGTGGGAGTTACTCACCATCCTGCCCTTCTGATTGCACTCTTGGCAGAATCTCGCAGCTTTTGCCAATAATCTTCGCAGAGAGCTTACGACAGCAGTCCCCACATTTCTCCCTTGAAAGACGTCATAATAATATTTTTTCCTAAGATAACAGAAAACTCTAGACCGACTTCTGCGTTCTCGATATGGTCCTTGTAAGGATTCCTTTCCTCTTTGAATGAATATGGGAGACTGTCGATGGATAATCGTACGCTGTGCATGTACTCTGGCACGTGGATGTGATCCGTTCACATTTCATTCTCTCTCCTTTCTGGACATTTTCGGCCCAGAACTTCTCTGACGATGAAGTGTATATTTTTGCGTTCACTATCCTGAAGGAACATGCAAACTTTACTGCAATATCCAGTGGTGGAGCCCGATGGCAACATTGTGGGACCAATGACGTGCGACAATTGGGCCGTACATCTTGATCGAATCCGAGCAAAAAATCTAGTACTGAAACTCCAAAGTAATGTTGCCCATAATAGAAAAGTGCAATGGCTAAAGCAAACCTGCTGGTGGCAACAGAGACTGAAAGAGGCACTGATCGCAAAAGTTGTGACCACAAGGGAGAATCTTGGGTGGCCTGGTGAGCGGTTGGAAAGGCTCCAGGCAGACTTCGCACGTTACGACATCATCGCCCGCCATCAGATAGTGATACCAGTCGTCCATGAACACTCATCATCTGAAGACGATATTATCTAGTGGGCATGAATCTTTTTTAAGAGCGCAGGCGTACTTCTCCTACTCTCAACGACTAGTGCGCACCATATGGCGTCTGGACGAAAGCTGTTGTCCTCTTTGTAATAAGGCTCATGATAAGATTTATGGCAGCGCGGGAGAACATGAGAAGCGACGGTGACATGCGTATGAAAATAACGACCACATAAAAGGTTCAGTGCATGACGACCTGATTTCTAAATAACCATAATATGAATTTCAAAGGATAAAAAAAGATCCTCAGTAAAGAATTGGAGGAGCTGAATTGGAAGAAATCAGCAAGAATAAACCAAGTCCATAGAATTCCATAGAATTCCTATGGCCGAGAGAAACAAGAACTGCCAGAGTTTTTCGAACTGCATTTCTCCCATTTAATTTATGAGATCAAAGAATGCTGGAGAGCTGGGAACAACAACGGGTAAGGGTTTGCAGTTGAACCAGTTACTGCCCCGATTGACACCGATTGTGAATCAGTTGCGTGATCGCTATCAATCAAAACACCACGCCGACAAATCAAGAATTAGAACGAGAATGGACAACGCCCAAAGGCAGAGATCACTCCATCTTTGGCCAGCACGCGGTTCAGCTCAACCGTTCAGCTCCTAGACAGGGGGCGGAGTTGCGCGGATTCTGTGGTTCAACGCTAGTGAACTCCGGTTGGGCGTGGCCAAACCTCGTCGTCCTTGAGCATCCGCTCTCATCGAATACCCACAAAATGCAACAATGGACCGGAAACGGCAGAGGGTCGGGGTGTACTGTAGCTGCGTAGAATTAGTTACCGCATTGACTCAGAACTTCGCAATAGCATTTGGGGACTATCGCCTGGGCCGTCCATAGGACTATCTCCTCCAGTAATCGCTTTTCCTTTCCAAAGACATTCCTAGATTGCAACCTGACAACTGTTAATCGATATTTTAGGGAAGATACCGTATTTTTGACCTCTTTTGTTAATTTGGTGAAGTCCATGGCTTCGCCAAACTCCTCAACCGATCTGAGATCCCTCTGTTCGCGGCTTTCTTTTATTTCAGAGCTTATATTAATTCGTTTTCACCTTGACGAAAAGTTTCCCTGAAGTCTGTTGGAAATGTGGCACGTAAGAATGAAGGGAAATGTCTATTTACAGTGTCAGGTGAAAAGCAAAACTGTTTTTTGGAAATTTTCTTCACGGAACGTTCAGTGGAAGAAAAGAGATGTCATGAAGGAAGCAGTTTGATTAAGAAGATGCGTAAAGCAGTGGAAACCTGATAGCATGCAGTTTTCGTCTCGAATTACAGTGTGGGGTGAGGCAGATGCACCACGGGTCAGCCGTGTGTTCCTTCCAATTCAAGCACGGGCACTGAAATATTCAGAGGGAGGGACTTGACGAGACCATTCCCCATTATGCTTGGAGTGATACCGGTAGCAACCAGGAAAAGGCTCAAGCACTTGTTGAGCTGATGTTTCAGCGACGATTGACGCCTGCCGCATCACTGCGAGGTGGACCCAGCCTCCCATGGGTATTATTGAGACAGTCGGCGCCGTTCAAAGGCTTTGTATAGCACTCGAAACGAGTGTAGTGACAATTGAGAACTAGCGCACTGAACGAGGAACTATCGATGTGATCGGCTAGTAAACACCTTGCACTTGGAATCCAAATAGATTTTATCCACTAGAAAAGTTTTGCCATCGTAATTATAGAGGGATCGTAAATCTACAGTACACAAGAGGCTGAACACTTTGCGATCGTCCGCATTGCTAAC